TCCTCGCGCTTGGACTCTCCTGTCAAAAGTTATCGTGTTAACGGCCGGCCGGACGGACGGACACACTGACCGATTCTAGAGTGTACTCACTTTTTGAGTACACAAAAAATCAATAAAGATATAATAGAAAATTAGATAAATCATTCAAATGATTAAATTTGAAACAAAAAAAAGTTTATTTTCTTCATTAGACTACAACTATTAAAGTTGATATCTTCAATTGAAGTTTTTAATTAATATAATTTACGAAATTTTCGATCCAGTTTTATGTATATATCGAAAAATCAAAAAAGAATAGAATTTCAATGTAAAGTTCTACTCATAGATAGATCTAATGATCTATAGAATATCCTGAAAGTTTCAATCGAAAAAAATGTTCTTTTGTTGAGATATCAAATTTTCAAAAAATAATTTATTTCTCACAGGCATGTTCAAAAAATCGAGTTTACTTGAAAATTCAATATCTCAACAAAAGAACATTTTTTTCAACCGAAATTTGGGTATACTTTTGTTGGTTTCACCAAGACATCGACCTTGTAGGCTCAATATGAGCAAAAATGATGGGTATCAGTTCAGATGATTCTCTCGTCAGCTGCGTGGTTACACTCTTTAGATTCCATGAAGAGAGAGTGATAGAATTTATTCTTCGTAAACGTTTTTATAACTGATTAACTAAGATTACAAGTGATTATTTCTGTAGAGCAACTAAAAGAATATTTCTATCAGAAACTTTTCACATCGTTCAAATCGTTGGTTCAATAAAGATGAACGTTGAATCTATTTTTCTGAAGTGCATTCTATTAGAACTTTTTTTGTTTTGATTAAATTAACATTTATAGAATAAAACTTATTTTTCATGTCTATTTTTAAAGGCTAGCTGAAGATATACTTGATTCTGATCCATCAAAATTAATTATTGGTTCAAATGTACGTATTAAATGGACTGATGGTACGATTTATAAATGTAAATATCTGGGCCGTCAACGAGTACTTTTATATCATATAAAAATTAATAATGAAATTCGACAACTACAACGAAATGAATTTTCACTTGATATTCAATTACCATCACCGCCACCAACACCTTCAGCAAATGAATATGAATTTGATTCTCATCGACGATCATTGTTAATGTCATCAACAAAACGACCAAGTCACCAAAAAAAACAATCAGTTAAACGAAAACGACGACGTCTTCTTTTATCATCTTCTTCATCATCGGATGAGTCTTAGATTAGTTTTTTTGTTTTTTTTCTTTCTTATATTGTACATATATATTTTTTTTTTGGTTAGTTTTTGTCATACTTCTCCGTTCATATTCAATGCATATATACAAATATATATATATATCTCAGCATACAAATTCTCTCATTGTATTTGTTGTCTGATCCCGGTGGTATATATGTCGTTGTAGTTTTATTATATTCGACTTGCGTTTTCTGTATAAATGTAGTGTTTATCGTATTGTATTTCACCTTTTTTTTAATTATTTAAAAAAAAGGGAATTTATTAAAAAAAATAACTAAGCAAACAGATCGAATGTTTACTATCTGATTGTTAAAAAAAAAATAAGAATTAATTATAAAGAATACAGACACTCAGAAAGTTATGAGTTATTATATACTATGATCAAATAAAAATGATAGACAACAAAATTTTCTAATGTAAGACAATGACAACATATAATTAATAAAAGGGACGCTCAATCTTAAAAAGTACAGTCTTCAATCTTGAAGTTTAAGAATGCTCGATTCGAGCCGATCTTTAACAAAACCATCAATTGGCGATACATTAGCAAATAAATTTAACGAATTACTAGTAAACATCACATCTTACCGTATTGCTACAGTATCTTCGCCATTGTAAGTTAAGAATTCGAACTTGTGTCAAAATATTTCTAGCTCATTAGAGTCTCATGACGCTCATAATCCTGGGTCAGAAGCAATTAATCCGTTCAGGTACTTGCCTCGTTAAATCAATTTTTCTTTCAAGCCAAAAACTCAATTTGTTAAATCCATTATATGCATTACACGTCGATATAGATGTACATCAATCAAAAAAGAATGCAATTCCAGTCTTATTAAATTTTCATGTAAGATGAAATTATTGAAAATACCATGGCAATGAAAAATTCATTTTAAATTATCAAAAACTTATCAGTGCGGCCCCTTCTAAGACCAAAGTGTAGAACTCACGAACTCTGGTTGTTATAATTTGTTGGTATATTGTTAGAAATTTTAAAATAATTTATTTTAAAAAAATGTCAAATAAATGAATAATTCAAAATCATAACAATTTTTATTGTTGATAGGCGCACTATGAAATTTTATCATTTCGAAAATGTTTTCATTTATAATTACTTTTCTACCAATTTATTTGATTCATTTAATATTGTTATAATCTAAAAAATTATTTGTATTACCAGACACATCTTCAATTTATAATTTCTTTTCTCGTAATGATAACATATCTGCGATACATGCCGTAGAAAACGGCAAAAATATAATTCTACTCTTGGTTTTGTCGATTCAACTTATATATTAGCCTGCTATAGACATTGATTTTTTCGCTTAGTTAGTTATTCCACATACTATTCTTTCTCTCGACGTGTTTCAACATATACTACTGAGTTTTTTCTGAAGTTAGAAAACAATCGGTTCAGATTTTTCTATGTCCGTTCTAATCGGACTCTACTTGATCAAAAAGAGGACCGCTCTATTCGTTAAAACCTACAATAAGATCCTTTCTCTGCATGAAAAGTTCAAAACTGCACTATTTAGACTAAATAGTTAAAATCTACAGAGCTTTCTAATGATCTAAGTACTGCTATGGAAACATATCCAATAATTTTTGACTTCCTCCTTTCGCTGTTGTTAGGGTCTGAGGCAGATTATTAATGTCTCTAATAGGAGGGAGGGAGCTAGACGGAGTGGAGAAGCTGAAAAATCTCGATTTAAAACTTACAGTAACTAATTTCTTCGAAAATATATGCCAATTCCACATCAGAAGAAACATTAGGGTATCAGCTCATCGTCTCTAATTTTACTGAACAAATGTGATGCCCTTTGCTCATCAAATAAATATAGACAAGAAGTAAACAGCCAACATTTTTAATTTAATTTTCAACATATGTATACTCTTGTTATATATACGTATATGAATATCAACGGTATCGACAGAAGGATTAATAACGGTGTGAAGCACTAAAGTAATTATTGTCGACTTTCTATACTTTCTAAACATCCCATTCGAATAAGATGTGAACATGGATCTGAATGTTGTCTTTTGTTCACTCACATCCAACCACACATCCACGCCCACAAAATTTTTGCCGTACCCTAATCTTAAGCTATGGTAGGATTATCTTGCATGACTCTAATCTCTTGAAATTTACAGTTCATATTTTCAGTCGATTCTTGAGCAACATACTCTTTTATATGTTTCTTTTCTCTTTTCACACTCGATTAGTTCCATCTACTCTACCTATGATTGTTTCTAGAGATTATTCTGGAGATAAAACGGCTCCAGCAGTTCTACAAAAGCGATTATTACACCATTTCACAAGAGGGCCTTTCCAGGGAGTATATAGTGCATCGAAGTTTTGCCCATATTTTCTTAGCATATTGTAACTCTCTGCGATCTCTATCAATCCTGAATATCTTGATCTGGTTCTATGGAGCATTGCTGAAATAATAAAAATAAACTTATGTCCAAAACGAAATTTTGCTAGAATTTCGATCGTGTAGTCCTGGTAAGACCCTAAAGGGCAGCGAACTTTTGTCTATATTTGGTTCAGCGGAAGAGGTGGCGAAGTACATTATCAAGTGCGTGGAAAAAGTGGTTCTACCACTGCGGAGAAACCTCTCGTCGAAGAATTTAAGGAGTTATGGATGTAAAAGAATGTTTTCCGAAGTGATTTTCAATAAGGACCGATTTTGAAAAAATTGCCCTCCCCGTTCCCGTCCTTTACCAGCGCTATTTTCAAGAATCGTTTGAATTAATCTTCATCAAAAGCAGATGCGATTGCTCAATGAGTTGTTTTTATTCATAATAATGACAGACGTACAATGATACAACAATCAAAGTGAGCACATAAAAGATCTAGTCTTTTATCTAGGAGGAAATCTTCTTCAAGCAAAGCTATTTTTTCGTCTTCAACATAAGAAAAATCTTGTCGTATTTAAGTACTTAGGTCGTTTTTTGATTATTTGTCCCAAATAAGTTTGTACACTCGAAAAATCGCTAATCCAACAATGAACCCGCTAATCGGTCCAGCAGAATAGATCCAAGCATAGCTGCTGTACGTATTCGAAGCAACCGCTGGTCCTAGCCACCTCCAAGGATTAAGAGCAGCTCCATCTCGATCGGAAGCAAGTAAAAAGGAAGAGAACACGACCAGTCCAACTGGAAGAGCTGCTTCCTTGTGCGTGTTATATGATGTCGTAAAGAAAATGACAAATGAGAGAACGACCGTACAGATGAATTCTAAGAAAAAGCCTTGCAGAACCGTAACTGGATAGGGTAGTAATGCCAATTCTGGTGTACCTAGCTTACTGTCGTTGCCATAGTACAGTAACAGTAACAGTGCTCCAGCGAGAAGGGCGCCAAATGCTTGAGCAATAATATATAGTAATGCATCAAATATTTTCATTTGACGATTTATTGTAAAAGCAATGGTGACCGCAGCATTGAAATGAGCACCAGAGACCGATCCAAATACGTACACGAGCCAGACTGTGACAATACCATGAGCAGTAGAGATCGCTAATAGGCCTGATCCTGGCTTTGTTGCACAGCCAGCACCAAAAAGGACAAAGCAACATGTACCAATCGCTTCACAAATCAAACGAACTGGTAACGATGGTGTTTTGTTGAAACCGTTCGTTGCTCGATCTTTTTCTTGTACCGTGGAAGTGTGATCTCTTTCGAGGGAATCAACTTGAACTGACGGCATTTTATGGAACTCTCTACAATGCGCAATGAAGATAAGTTAATATTCGTGCATTTTCTGCAGTTTCTTCCTATTTTCTACGCCTCCTGATAGGTACTTATTCGTACTAGTAAACGACACGATATGCGCAAAATCATGAATCGTGAAAAATCTACTCTTGACAAATTGTAAAAATCCTTCTTATTGAAAGATACTGTCTTCTACTAACTAAGATGCGAAACATTTTTATAGCAACTCGTTTTCTCAACGTCTGTATCTGATTGACATGATATATTCCAATGAATTAATTACTTTCATCGCGTATATGTGTGAAATACTTGAACAACAGTTCAGTATGGACTTTCTTCTTGTTAATGAATACGATGTGTTCGGAGTGTTGTTACACGATGATTGAAGGATCGTTTTATAATCCTCGAATGATATAGGGAGAATGGCGGTTTAGAAGTGAAGCTTCTCGTCTCTTAATAATCTAGACGTAATCTAGACCTTTTCAGTCAAGTTCTTTGTGGCATGCCACTTTTATTAATCGAGTATCATTTCTTCAGACTACAGTAATGTATGCACAATACTAACGATCAGAGTAATTCAGGAAAGCTCGTACGGTGAATGAATGTTTTAATAAAGGAAACGAAACGTCATTTCTAAATTCTAGTCCATGTACTGATTGTTCAGTACAGGAATACAGATGCAGCTTTCGTCAGTACTGACGAGAACATTTTTTCAGGATGGTGATTTGTAGTAAAGCGAGAAATTTGAAGCCCGTCAAGTTACTTAGAACAATCATTGAGGAACAGAGAATGCGCTCGATGCAATATGAACCGACTCTGATGAGCATAGAATTTTTAGAAGTCTAGTCGCAGAAATTTGAAAAAGCTGAGAAACAAGTGTAAAATTCAATATTATAGAACACTCACACCTTTACATGCAAGGTATGTTTTTTGTGTCCTCAAGGATGAAGAATAGAGAGAATTTTTTCCCACCACTGTGAATCAATAAGCGTGACAGTATATGTTTAAGAGAAAAACGGAATAACAAATTTGAGATAGTCACTAAAGAAAAATCAAGAATATAATAACTTGTACTGATGTCAAAAATCCTATCTAAATTTGCGCTTAGTATAATTCGAGCCAAAGTTTTCTTTCCGCAATTTTATAGCTTTTTGATTAGTATTGTCATTGACAGCTCTCATGCAATATTTTGTTTCATTTCTCTAATATAAGTTGATAAACTTTATGATCATCAGTATCATTGGATGACACTTGTCATCTATAATCTTGATGAT